TGCTGCCTGAGGTTCAATCTTATATGAAAACACATGGCAGTCGCGCCAAATTCCGCTTCACAGGACATTCACTTGGTGGAAGCTTGTCACTGCTCATTAATCTCATGCTGCTGATGCGAGGTGAGGTTCCATATGCCTCACTTCTTCCTGTCATCACGTTTGGCTCTCCTGGTGTTATGTGTGGAGGGGATAAGCTGCTCCGAAAGCTTGGGTTGCCCAAGAATCATATTCAGGCTATTGTGATGCACCGTGACATTGTGCCCCGAGCTTTCTCTTGCAATTACCCTAGGGCTGCTGCACAACTACTCAAGGCCGTCAATGGTAGCTTCCGCAACCATCCTTGCCTGAATAACCAGGTAAATTCTTCATTACTGAGTAACTGAATGTGCTTTGTTGCAAAACCTTGCTAGGACTAGTAATGTTCTGAATATTGAAGAAATAGGTCTCTTGTGTTTATTATTCCCCCATCTTTTATAAATTAAAACTTTTACCATATTTTGGGACTGAGGGAGTATCAAACATTGATTGCTTGAATTTGGGACGAAAGAAATTGTGAAACTATATTTCATTTTTTTTGTCAATTTAGAATATTATGGTATTCTTGGGACTAAGGGAGTTCCAAGTATTGATGGCTTGAATTCGGTTACATCACTTGGAATAGTCGTAGGCAACTACTTGTAGCGTTTAGATCGATTCTAAGTTTTGTTGACATATGTGACCATTTTCATTTCAGAAGCTACTCTATGCACCTATGGGGGAGATGTTGGTTTTACAGCCGGATGAAAAGTTCTCTCCGCAGCATGACCTACTTCCTCCAGGAAGTGGTCTATACCTTCTAACTTACAAGGTTGGTGATGCCATCGAGGGAGAAAAGAAACTTCGGGCTGCAAAGAACGCGTTCTTAAACATACCCCACCCACTCGAGATCTTAAGTGACCGCGCAGCATATGGAAATGACGGTACTATCCAAAGAGATCATGACATGAACTCCTACCTAAAGTGTGTAAGGGGTGTGATCCGCCTAGAGCTCAGCCGCATCAGGAAGGCCAAGAGGGAGCGACGTCGTCAGGTGTGGTGGCCTCTTGTGACACCACACGTTGCCGACAGAAGCATCACCGTGGGGACCACATTGGGTCCGATCAATGTAGGTCAGGCCAAATTCAAGTTTGCCGGGATTGTCAAGTCCGGGAGAGAGTCGTTGAAACGGTTTAGCAGGCTTGTTGCATCACAGCATATGCATTTGCTTGTTGTGCTCTTGTTTCCTGCAAGAATGCTGTTAATCGGCGCGTATAGTGTGATTAATTACAGTTAATTTGGTAAAAACTGTTTGATAATTCATTTGGATGAAATGTACATAAGGTGGCTCCCAAAATTAGTTGGGAAATTCTTTATTCATTGAGATTTAGAAGCTCTGCATGATTTTTCATCCGTGAAGAGCATTAGGTTATTCTTGTCACATTAGATTAAATACAAAATGTCGAAAACCGACATATTATTGTAGTTTTATTTTTATTTCCCTCCTTAAGATGTAATTGTTGTAAAAATATGGAACTGTAGTCATAAACATGTGAAATTTTACTAAAATTATTATACAAAATGTCATAATCATATACTTGAAAGTTTTTAATGTTATGATTTTTTTTTTTTTTTTGGTGTAATATTTTGTTATCTTTTGATTTATGATATTAGTATTCTAAATATGATATTATTTATATTGTTTAATTAGTATAGAACTCCTATTTTGAAATTGTTGATATTTTGAAAATTATATTTATATTGAATGGCTAGTCTTAAATGAACTGTCCCTATAATAATATCACGATCATATATAATTCCTTTCAATAATTAGCAACTTTAGTTGATTTGGACGGTGTTTTTTTCAAGCACGTTAATCATGAAATTTCACTAAGATTTCCTTAGAAGGGTTTTATAGTAACAAAAACTACATGTCAAAATTTTCACCGATGAACCTTTTAATTACTTTCTACCTTAGCTAAATGTTTCTGTGTGCAATGATGAGTGAGATCGATTTCAAATTGTAACTTTTATTTTTATCTTCTTACATGGCTCTTTCATCCTCTATGGTGTACGTGTTGTAGAAATATTTGCAAAAGGAGTTACATAAATATTATATGGTATATCTGTTAAGTACCAAATACAACGGTAAATTATACATTTGTCTCAAATAGTGATACATCTGCTTGCAATTTTATCAATGGAATACATGCGTTATATTATTAGCTCAACTAAATATTAATTTCGGCATAATTATATTTATGGAAAAAAAAAAAGAAAAGGGTGAGATATTGTAAAGAGTTGGAAATGAAATGGCAAAAAAGGTCAACTTAGAGCCTATCCAAAAGCCTAAGCAAAACCATGATGAATAGTCAGCATAATTGGGTTGGGACCATAGGTGACCCCCTTGCTTAGTTGCTTCCAAAATCCATGTATCAAAATTGAAGGGATTACAATTTACATATATAGAAATAGGATAGGGATCAATTATAATCATAGTCAGCCTCATGTCAATTTTTTATTTTATTTTTATTTTTTTTGGTAATAATAAATACTTTTCATTATTTTTTCTACAAAAGAAATACAAACAAATACCGGTAATAAACCAAAAACAATTTGTCTAAACTTCCATGTGAAATAGAAAAAACCAAAACATAAGCAAAAAATTGAGATAGAAATTGGAGTATTTCCTAATTCTATATCAATCTTTATTTTCAAATAAGCTTATACGGAGTTTATGTATGTGCATACTCAAACTCATCTATATAATCCACGCGGAACAATTGTGCTTGTTTTGTAAGGCATTGACAAATATAGGAATGTCAATTTTTTTTTTTTTTTTTTTGAATAGATATAGGAATGTCAATTTAAAACTCTTAGAACAATTAAAACATCAAAAAATGCCTCTTGTCAAGGATTATGAGTTGTCTTGATAGACTAATGTCAATTAGGCCCCATTAAACACATAGTCAAAATTGTTTTCACCTTGATTACGGTTAAATTATGAAAGTGACTTTTATGAAAATTATAATCATGGACTAATCTTTAATTGGATATTTTTGTAAGCTACATTGATTTATAATTTGTCATATTTTGCTAAATTACAGCTTCTTTGGAACTATTTGCAATCAAGTTCTTAAAGAGTAGTTGAAGTTGAGTGAAACAAGCAATTGGTGCTTTTATGCTATTTGAAGTCCTTCCAATGGCTAATTTTCTCTCACACGTCCCTTTTATTTCATATTCATCCATCATTATAAATCAATAAATGGTTGTTGCCCTCTAGCACCACAAATAAAAGGCTCAATATCAACATTATTTCACGAAATTTGACAAGAACTAACTATGTTTCCATCATAGTAAATCACATACTCTGTATAATTTTATGAATAAAAGGTATATTATACGAAGTACATAAAATTTTATGGTTATAGCATCACATGAATATTCCATGAACCAAAATAATGAATCTTTAAATTTCAAAGAGGTTTCGGAAAAAAAACATGAAATATTATTTGACGAGGTTATCTATGATAACGGATTATTATGAGGTCGGATTAAGATTACGATTATTGAAAGAATTCCACGTCAGAGAAAATTGGACACCTACAATTCAGTGAATATGAGACCAACCAAAACTTAGGTTTTGCTGAGAGACAAAAAAATAGAAAGTGGTGAACACATTCTCTTGTTCAACATGTTTTTTGGTCTCTTTTGTTACATTTACGAGTATATTGTAACCTTATCCATACAACAAGGCATGCTCACTATTCTGGGTGTCCTATATTATCAACTTGGTTACCCATTATTTCAGGTGTATCTTGGAGAACAGTCTTATAAAGTTCTACATGGTTTGGTCAAACATATGACACATTATTTGTAGTATTCTAGGATTTACAAGATAAATGACTAGTTTTGCTCTTTTCTTGTGACTTTGTTTTACCCATTTCATAATTCTCTAGGTTTCTTTGATCCTATACCTATGAATTACTTTGTTATTTTGCGTCTTAGAGGTTAAAAATAAAAATTTGCTAATCGTAAGAACTTATACAAATAATTTCAAATTGTGCACGTGAATTTCTATGCTCCAATGTTAACAAAAATTGTAAGGCCTAGGATTAGTCACATGATTGCATCACATATTCCAATTATTATAGTAATTCCTAATTTTCAACTCGAATTTAGAAAGACCGACAAATTATTAGGTGCACTTAGAAACATAAATCTCAAATTATATGACAATAATTTATAAAATATACAGCAATAGGTAATCGTCTAATTGATAATCGATACGATGTACTTCATGTGACAAGTCTTAGAGACTTAGACTGTCTATGAATAATGCAAAGCCAACTCCAAGTTGGAGACACTAGATATAATTTGTTTTGTCCCATTGAAACATGCACATTCAGATTTTCTCATCCAAATTCAAAGCTTAGCTGGGTTTCAAACTAAGGAAGTATACGCGGAAAACACACTCTAGAGAGTAAGACAACAAAGCTACAACTTTGACGAGTTATATAACTTGAGTTGTATTTTGAGTCTCATATGTAGTGCCCAGCTAAACAACAAAGGAGTTAATGCAGGTACAAGATCCCTCTTATCCCTTTTGCATAATTTCCTCATGTAATTTGGGTCTATTTTACACGTCATATACGTAAATATAGACCACCTAAATAGTCAATTGGTATCAAGTAGTATTACCTAAATAGTCAATTGGTATCAAGTAGTATTTGATACGGTGGTAAGGATTAGATCTCGCAAGTCACAACCTTGAGGAAGGTTGCGAGATCAATTGTCAACTACTTCTCATGCTTTCTAAGAATCTCCGTTTCCCATATCAACCAAACAAATACTTAAAAATATGAACATAATGGGCCGCGCAAGCCCACATCTTTTGCCAATAGGCCTAGAGCTCAAATAGGTTGTGCTTAAGGCGGGTTAATGAAAGCCATGCCAGTATGCCACAAGCAAAGGCCATGATCATGTAAACAAATTACCAAAAGACTTGGATATTCTTAGAAATTACATCAAATGCTCGAATACTCAAATGGCAAACAATACCAAGTCCCAGGGATAACAAATAATGAAATCGACACCAGGTCTACACTGTAAATACAGTATGAGAGATAAGATAGATTAAATAAATGAACCTGCAGTATTTAGCATCCTTCTCAGTTATTACTAAAATCTACAAATGCAGTGTTAACTGACTTGGTTTTACAAGTAACTTGTAATTAAGCTCATTCATTCTGTTCCGGAGTGTGCTTCGATTTGTCAGTTTTTACTAACCATCCTCAACTCTTCTTTCTGTCATAAAGCTTTGGAAGTTTTCAAATCCATAACAGGGAGCCATGTGCATCAGTCACCTGAAACCAGCTTTTCTTCATCCATATCAAAAGCCTTCCTAGCTTGTTTGAGCTCCTCGTTCATAGCAAGTAGTTCTGTGGCACGATTCAATTTTGGGTAGTCCTGATTTTCAAAAAATAAAGATATAAAGTCAGGCTTATGCAACACATATTAGCATGTTTAACCAATGTGGTTTAACTGTTTAAGCCTTTAAAGACAAGTTGATTCTAAGATATTAGGGTATACAGGCAATGTTAGAACCAAACTTGAATGACAAATCGACACAACGTCAATGCAATAGGCAATGCTGGATGTCATGCAGATTTATTGAGATTCATGCCGGATGTCATTACATATAATCAGTGGGCCGGTTCACTTGGTGGACTGGGGGTAGGTGGGGAACCAGGAATGATCCATAAAGCAACTAGCAAGCAGACAGGGCCAGTTCATGGTCCAATCTTTACAGATTTGGCCCATGACCCACCCGCTTGGACTGGTTAAGCCCAGTAGCCAAGGGGCTCAGATTAAGTATCCTATGAACGAACATCAGACATACAGAAGAGCAGAACAACCGACTACAAGTATCTTCCTACAATTGAACAACAGGGACCTTAAAGACCATGAAGCTAATCAAGATAGCCAGCAACAATCACAGCATATCATGAAACCAACAAATCTATAATGACAGCCAGCATATCCTTCTATTTCATAAGTATAGTACAAGACATGCCATATTTCCAGCTGAATTTACAAATTATAAACAAACCACTAAAGCACTACATCGTCTCTAAAATCAAGCCAGATTGGATAAAAGATGATGGTTTAGTTAGTTTACTTGCCAATAGTAAACAAAATTTAAGGAAACAGCAATAACATTCATTAAGTTTGATCCTTCGAAATCATACTGAAATTTTAACATGTTACACGACTTAATCCATAAGCTGCAATATCCAAAACAGATAACCAGTAAAGTCTTTAAGAGTTTACCTTACGAATGATAAACAGAAAGTCTTCTATCATCAGCCTCCCCCTCTTTGAAGCCACATCTTGGGCCTTGTGAGCCTAAAGCGTACAGCTGGTGAGAACAAGAAGAGTAAACTGAGTTTTCAGTGCAGATTTAGGACTTACAAGATCTGTAACATACTCCACAACAATGTCCTCGACAAGGGCCACAGACTCCGGAAGTTGCTGAATATACAACACCCAATCTTAATAAGATACAAATAGCAAAAATACAATCTATCTACCTTGAATAAATGAATATAGATGTAAACAAGTTAGCTATGATAACATAACAATTGACACATTTTAAACCTCCAAAAATGACCATAATGACCTCCCTTCTCTAAGGCCTAAACCATTGAAATAAACATTAAAATAAAAAAAATAAAAAATCAGTGATTCATCATGCATACTTGTTAGCATTACCAAGGGCAGACAAGGAAAACCAAACCACCATAAAGCAGAGGGTCTGGAAAGTAAAGTTTCTGGAATTCACCAATTTGTCACTCGTTTGCCTTCTCCAATATGTATTTGAGATTTCATTCTTATGAGACATCTCCAGTTGACCACACAGATAAACCCCCACCCATCCAAGGTATCAATCAAGAAAAAAACGAATATATTAACATGAAAACTCTTATTTTGCAAAGCATTAGTTGACTTCTCTGTAAGCATATATAAACATCCATTTTGTTTGGGAAGCTATACAAGACAAGCACTTTACATCCCCTTTCTCTCTTAGATCGACAGTGAACTAGTGAAGTTATATCACTTACATGAGCAAAACAACTACCCTACACTTACCCAAATTGAAAGCCAATTTCATTGGAGCAGGGAAACAACAGAAAACCCTTTCCTGCCACAAGATATAGACTAACAGGAGCACATACTCAACAAAAAGTACTCCTTGCAGTTTTAAGACTTATCAAACAAAACCAAATTCTTCCTAAGAAACATAAAGTGCAATTCAACAAAAGTCATACTTCAACAACTCACCAATGAAATCACTTCTTGATACAAGAATTTAAATACACTTGCTTGGTTCTTATTCACAAAAGCAACACCCAACAATAATTAGACAACAGTCAATAAGCAAAATTATTAAAACATTAAAAGAAACAAAAATCAATTTACAAAAGGTCAAATCACGCTAACCCACTAAAGGCACCAACATAAACAAACTTTTGAACCAAGAAGTTGATAGAAAAACCTCAATCACTCAAAAGAAATAGAAAACTACAAGTAAAAATTGAAAGTGGGAAGAAAGAAGAAACTCACATTCTGATCATCTCCATAACCATACATCATGTGCTGCACTGCAACGAAAATATCCATTATTTATTGTCAAATCTTTTTACAAAAAAAAGAGGGGGCAAAAATGGTGTAGATACTCACATTCTTTCTGGAAAACACCTCGCTTACGCTTGAAAGAAGTATCAGATTTACTTGAAGATTCAACTTTTTGTTTGGAGGAACCTCCTGCACCTCCTCCACTCATGATTTCTTCGTAGTAGTTCTACACTCTCTTCTTGCTAAGATCAGGCTGCAAATGCCCAAAATTCTCTTTTTTCCCTTGTTAAGACAAACAGCAGATATACAGACTTGTTAAAACAAACATCTCACCCAAATTCTTGTACAAAATGCCGATTTAGCCCCTATGGATGTCATTACAAAAAAAAGGCTCTTTTGGTAATGTGCATGATTTACTAAAGTCCAAGTTTAAGAACAAAGATATGCATATAGTAGCTGAGTGAGTCCAAGTTCATAACAAAGATATGCAAAGCCGAGAATATGCATAAGCCTTGGATTCCTCAGATCGATGAGAAACCACAAGATAACATACATTGAAAGGGTAAAATTAGACCAAGCACCATTGAATCGATCCATCTAAAACCCAATCCATCAAACACTCAATTATATAGCATCCTGACATTACCTAAAAGGCTAAAACTGATCTTACCCAATCAAATCTTACTCAAAGTCGGAACACGCCTGATAATAAGCTGACTTGGCATTGGATACTAGATACGAGTTGACCAAAACCCAATTACTCAATTACAGCATGAAATTCATAAGCCTTGGTTCCCTCATATACTAATTGGAAACCTCATAAATATACTTTCAAAGGATAAATTAGACCTAGCACAATTTATTCAACCCATCTAAAACCCAATACATCAAACACTCAATTATATAGCATACTGAGATTACCTAGAAATGATCTTACCCAATCATATCAAACTCATTGTGCAACTATGCCTGGTAATAAAGCTGACTTATTTTGGGATACTCAACATGAGTTCACCCGAACCCCAATTACTCAAAAACAACAAGAAATTTATACTTAAATAACCCCAAATTAGAAGATAATCATTAATCTTAAATCACTAATAATTTTACATTACAATTTACAATTGGGTATCACAAAGATATGTTATAATCATGCCAAATAGATAATGCAGTATACTGTATACACTTAAACCCTAAGATCATTCACCACAACTTTAAATAACTCAAATTCCCCAAATAAACTGAATTAAATCACTTAGAATCAATCAAAAAATCATCAAAATTCAAAATTTCGAAAAGGGCTGTTCTAAATTCTAAAGCCAATGCAAGAAATAACAACCAGAAATAGTCAAGAAAAGGGGAGAAGAATTGGTGGTACCTAGGCGGCTATAGGTGAGGAAGGCGTCGTTTGGATGATCTTCCCGAGCGGAAGCTGACGGTGGTGATGCGAGGTGTGCGACGGTGGAAAATTTAGTGTGCCAAAGAGAGAGCGAAGAAGAAGAATTGCGACGCTTTTGGGTATTTATAATTTTCAGTTGCTCATTAACTAAAGACCACCATGGGATTTATACGTCTTAAAAAGGCCGAAACCTCCAAAATTTCTCAGAAAACTGGATAGCAGCCTTTAATTTTGGATTTTTTTTACCTTTTTTTCACTCGGAAATAAAAATTGCCGAAATGTTTACCAATGTCACTAATATCCTCCGGGAGTCCGATTGGCTGTGTGGAACCATCCAATTTGCCTTTAAACGACCAATTTACCGGTTCACAACTTGCACCGATTTCATTAATTCAAACTTACCATGAACATTTATGACAACAAATAATGATCATATATGGATCCAAACGGCATCATATGACCCCGAAATGTATCCCCTAAAATCTCAATGCTTTTCGACACCGGACCCAGAAACATTCAAAATTTCTCAAAAAGCGTGGATATTAGCCTTTAATTTTGAAAATTTTTGACCTTTTTTCCCCCGAATATAAAAATTGACGAAATATTTATCATGGTCCCAACTCCCAAATACCCCCCGAGTTTCCAATTGGGTGGGTGGAACCATCCAATTTACCTTTAAACGACCAATTTACCAATTTACAACTTACACAGATTTCATTAATTCAAGCCTACCACGAACATTTATGACAACAAATAATAATCATATATGGTTCCAAATGACATTATATGACCCCGAGGTCCCTAGAATTTCAAGACTTTTCGACGCCGTGATCCGAAGACTCAAAAAGTGTGGATATTAGCCTTTAATTTTTGAATTTTTTAAACTTTTTTTCACCTGAAAATAAAAATTGCCGAAATGTTTACCAAGGTCCCTAATATTCTCCGGGAGTCCAATTGGGTGGGTGGAACCATCCAATTTGTCTTTAAACGACCAATTTACCGGTTTACAACTTGCGCCGATTTCATTTACTCAAGACTACCACAAACATTTATGGCAACATATAATGATCATATATGGTTCAAAACGGCATTATATGATCCCGATATGTTATATGTATCCCCTAAAATCTTAAATCTTTTCAACACCGGGCCCCAAAACCTCTAAAATTTCTAAAAAAAAGCGTGAATAGCCTTCAATTTTGAAATTTTTTACTTTCTTCGCCCGGAAATAAAAATTGCTGAAATGTTTACCATGGTCTCTAATAGCCTCTGGGAGTCTAATTAGGTGGGTGGAACCATTTGCCTTTAAACGACCAATTTACCGGTTTACAACATGCATCGATTAAAATAACTCAAGTCTACTACAAACATTTATGACAACATATAATGATCATATATGGTTCCAAATGACAGTATATGACCCCAAAATGTATCCCTTAAATCTCAAAAGTTTCGACAACGAGCCTCGAAATATCCCAAATTTCTCAAAAAGTGTGGATTTTAATTTTGGATTTTTTTGATTTTTTTTTTCGCCCGAAAATAAAAATTGCCGAAATGTTTGCATGGTCCCTAATACCCTCCGGGAGTCCAATTGGGTGGGTAGAACCACCCAATTTGCCTTTAAACGGCCAATTTACCGGTTTACAACTTGCACCGATTTTCTTAACTCAAGCCTGCCACGAACATTTATGACAACAAATAATGATCATATATGATTCCAAACAGCATTATATGACCCCGAGATGTATCCCATATAATTTCAAGAATTTTCGACACCGGGCCCCGAAACCTCCAAAATTTCTAAAAAAGCGTGGATATTAGCCTTCAATTTTGAAATTTTTTGATTTTTTTTATACCAGGAAATAAAAATTGCCTAAATGTTTACCATGGTCCCTTATACCCACCGGAATTCCAATTGGGTGGGTGAAACCATCCAATTTGCCTTTGAACGACCAAATTACCGGTTTTCAACTTGCACCGATTTCATTAATTCAAGCCAATCACGAACATTTATGACAATTAATAATGATCATATATGGTTCCAAACGGCAATATATGACCCTGAGATGTATCCCATATAATTTCAAGACTTTTCGACACCGGGCCCCGAAACCTCAAAAATTTCTCAAAAAGCGTGGATATTAGCCTTCAATTTTGGTTTTTTTTTTTACTTTTTTTCGCCTGGAAATAAAAATTGCCGAAATGTTTACCATGGTCCCTAATATCCTCCAGGAGCCCAATTGGGTGTGTTGAACCATTCAATTTGCTTTTAAACGGCAAATTACCGGTTTACAACTTGCACCAATTTACCGGTTTACAACGACCAATTTAATTAACTTGCACCGAACCCGACATGAACCGAAATTGACTAAAACACGTTTTAACCTGTCAAAACCCGAATTTAACCCGACTTACTACGAACCTGACCTGAATTCAACCCGACTCGTTCCTAACCCGACCCGAATTTAACCCAGCCTGTTACAAACCCGATCCGAAATCAACCTGACTTGTTATTTACCTGACTCAAATTCAACCCGACTTGTTATTTACCTGACTCAAGTTCAACCCGACTTGTTATAGAACCGACTCGAATTTTACCATACCTATTACTTACCCAACCCAAAAATTCAACCCAGTCTGTTACCTACTCGACTCGAAATTAACAGGACTTGTTATTGACCCGACCTAAATTCAACCCAAATTGTTCTTGACCCGATTTCAAATCATTAAATGCAATTTAGACCACCTTATTATTGTTGATCAAAGCATTTTGTCTTGGGAGACCAGGTCAGCCCAGGCTAGCAAAAGAAAGGAGCATCATACTCAAATTTAATAGTTAAATATAGTATATATTTCTTGTATGGTCAAATGAGATAATTATCTTCCTAAATTATAGACTATAGTTCCCTAGTATATTTCCATATATATTATAGTCAAAGGAAATAATTAGCTAGATAAAAATGATAATTATCTATTTATAGTTAGTTGAACCCAAATATGACATGACTTGGAAATGACCCGACTTGATTGCAACCTGCAAATTATTGACTTGAACATAACCCGACCTGAATTCGAGAATGACCCGACTTGGAAATGACCCAACATTATTATAACTCGCAAATTATTGACTTGAACCGAACCCGAGAATGACCCGACCTGATTATAATCCGCAAAGTATTGACTTGAACCGAACCCGACTCAAACCCGAGAATGACCTGACCTGATTCTAACCCGCAAATTATTGACTTAAACCGAACCTGATTCGTACTCGAGAATTATTCTAACTCGTTTTAACCCGTGAAAACCTGACCTATTGTTCACCCGACTCGAATGTAAACCGACCTGTTATTAACCCGACCTAAACCCTACCCAAACCCGATAAGAAGTATGACCCGACTTAAGCATGACCCAACACAAAACCGACCCGCATAGGTTATAGATTTAATATGAATTGACCTGACCCGAGTTGACCCGATCCAAACCCAACCCGTTTACCCAAATTGACAGCTCTACTTAAGGGGTCTGTTCTGATTTACTGAACTGAGCTGATCGGAGCTGAATTTTGTTTATGAGATAAGGAAATTAGGAGCTGAACTGAATAGAAATTAAGTTGAAAAAAACAAGCCCTTACTAGGTCTATAGTAATATACTAATATCCATCCTCGGGGATTTTTGACACTAGGTTTAAACTTCTAAATTGAATTTGTTATAGCTATTTATCTTTAATTTTATACTTTCCAACCCAAAAAGATTAGTGATGGTGGTTCTTCCTATGGACCCCACGACACATTAGGAGGTCATTTGGGTGATTGAGAGACTTAAAAGTTAAACCATTTATTTTGCCTTTATACTTTCAAGATAGCCATTTATTTACACAACCTCTTTAATCAGGTTAAGACCACTATGGGTCCTTATGTGATAAACTAAATGATCATAGATGTTTCCAAACAACATATATAACACCCCATGATGCATTCCCACCTTCTTGAACTTTTTCAACACCGAATTTTGAGACCTTTGAATTTTGTCCAAAAGTGTGGATTATATCTTTCAATTACGACAACATTTTCTTTTTATTTATTTATTTATTTTAAACTTTTTTAGACTTTGTAAGAAAGTTAATCGGGATTTTCTCATGAACCCTACAACAATCCGAAAAGCCATTTAAGTTGTTAGAAGTGAAATTTCATTTTAAGCTCTAAAGTAGAATCCATTCATTAATTCAAAAGTTCAAAAGATTGTTACACTTCATTTGAAATATATTACCCTCTTAAACTCCAAATTTGGTGAATTGGGATATCAAACTTTCTCATTTCTGTGCATCAAATTCTCTATACTTCTCTTCATAATTATAGACAATCTCCCCAATCATTCTAACTCAAGAAACCAATTGAGACAGTGTCAATAATATCAATCATATACTACATTCATCCCAAATGTTACAATTCCATTTTGATCACACTTTACTAAAAATTTAAAATTCCTCAAATTACTCTTGAAGATACTTCTAAGCAACAGTAAAGTGATTTTTTTTTTTTAAAAAAAAAAAAAAAGAAAGCAAGGGTAGTTATTGATTTTCGATTCAATTTTTATAGAAAAGCTCCTATCGAGTGAAGCAATTACTTATGAATAGAGGGAGTATCAAAGCAACGATTAAGCAGCAACTACTCAGCATATATAAACTACCAGGTCTACCATAAATTCTTCAGTAATTTGTGAAAGCTGCATAATCCAACATCATGATTACATAGTTATAAATACTGGGGAAAAGATTGAATAGTTTGTTATCAATGTTGAACAAATACAAGCTTAACAACAGAGAAACTCTGTGTAAACTCTAATGTTCCTCAGTTCCCACTAAGTTTGGTAAAAGATGTATCAGGAAGATGGCATGATCCGATCACAGGTTGAGTTTTACGGCTAAATACCATGAGTGCATGGCAAGGCAGCCAAATGACAGGAGGTTAGCGAGAGATGACAGGCCATGGACCATTCCAAACTTCTTGTTCATTGCTGCAAGCTGGGGGTTTTTCTTCGCAACTTCTTTGTTCTTTGTCCACCCGACTTCTTCCCCAATGTTGTTCTCTCGCTCTATCTTGTGCCTTTGCTTCATCATCTGCAACCAGCAACAAAGTAAGAGACTTCTCAGAACAAAGACAAGAAGTCACATTACACACTAGCATAAAAAAACAGAGCTTCTGCAATCTAAAAAAACAGAAAGTTAGGCAACTGAAGCTAATTCAAGGAGCAGCATTGTAAGATTTGTAACAAGAACCAGCAATTGATCAGGCTGTTAAGTAGACATCATGTATGCATATAAGAGTTAAATTGAAGAAGAAGACAACATTGAGATGCAAGGACCTTTAAACATACTATATGGAATTATTGAACAAGGCACAAGAATAGAATAATAGATATCGACGAAATGTAGAAAGAGTATATATACTACAGTTGCACCCCTCTAACTTCTCTAACTTCAAGTCAGATTATGTAATGAGAGGGAGAGGTGGAATTAATTAGCTCAAGCTACTTTCAAAACAACATAGGCCTCATCTAAAATTTTGATTTATCTCAGATGTCTTGGATCATATGCTATGACTCTAACGCAGGATATATCAAGCACAACCAACTAGCCAATCAAAGCAAACCATTGGCATTGTTAAGATTTCATGGCCTTAGTACTACAAGATCATGTAAAGCCATATCATGCCAAACACAGATATTCGAGATAATGTTGATAAGCAACGATAAAACTGAATGTCCTATACGCTACAAGGTAAAATAAGTCAACTAGAGCAATTCACCCAAAGACCATGCCAAGTACAAAACCAAGACATGGTTAAGGTCTATCAAGCACTATATCCAATAGACATGAAGTTTGTTTGACACAAGTTATCGTGTAAAGTGTAATACACTTTTCATTCATCACTTGTCAGAATTATCACACGCCATGGGCTGGACTAATGTAAGATGCTGCAAAATACTTCACTAGCTTGCTATAAAATTCAACAAGATCATCATCATACAGAAATCAATCATCCTCTGGCAACAAAAAAGGCAATAGTTCTACTTTCCTCTCCTGCAACTTCAAACCTCACTGTAATTGCTAATGCTGATCCCAAACACAAACATGTCTTTAGCCACATTTAAATCTTATGAGTAACAGCAACTCTTGATTGAGTTCGTCTTCACACTAATAGCACCAAAGATGTTAAATATACTCTCCTAAATTGTAAGAAGTGGATTAAATGCCATCTTTACATCACATTAAATTATGAGACATTCTACTACCAAACATCGACAATTCTTCAATTAACACGGTAAGTGATAATGCTAGTATAGATGACAAATATGAGAACTATGAGGTTTATCTCCACAGTAAAAATATGTTGCACATCTCAGTAAGAACAGACTTGCCACGACCATTGAAATGAAGGCAGCCTCGCCGTGGTCAGAGAAACAAAACAAGAGCAAAACACTTCCACCAACTATTAGACTACTACCAAGTACTACATGAACAATCACAATACTAACAACACCAAAGGCCCTATTCCAAATTTGGTGGGACGGCTGCAAAAACCAAGATTTCATCTCCGATACCGAACAACATAAATTCACAAATTTAACACAACCCCATTTGATTCCAACCAACATGGTTTAGCTCTAGCTAACTAATTGGAATTCTGATCAGTAAAAAGCATGATTGTGAAAAAAAAGGTTGATAAAGAGATAACCTTGATGGTCATTGGAGTAAACACCAACAAATTGGAAAGATTAAAGAGAAACGCAAAACCTAGAAACCCTAGCTGATACTTCTCAGTAGAAGACGATGATTTCCAAGGATGCAAATACCCAAACGACGCCGTTGAAACCGCGCAACAAACACCCACCAATGTAAAATACGCTGGAAACATCTTACTCTGCAAATTCCCAAATTGATGCCTTGGCAAATTCCTAAAAAAACACCCAAAAAAACACAAAATTATGTAAAAACAATCAAAACCCACAAAAATTAAGAAGAAGGGCAGATAAGAGTGATTTGGTTTTGAACAAAAAACACAAAATTATGGAAAAACAACTAAAACCCAGAAAAATTAAGAAGGAAAAATAGTAATTTGGTGATTGAAAAAAAAAAATGCAAAATTTTGGAAGAAAAATCAAAACCCAGAAAAATTAAGAGGGGCAGAGAGAGTAATGTGGTACTTGAACATGATGATGCCGCCGATGAAGGTGGCCCACAAGGCGGCGCCCCATGCGGTGGAGAAGCAGAGAAGGTGAGACAATTTAAGAATGGAGGAAAGAGAAGAAGAATCTGTGTTGTCTGATTTGAAGGTTTCAGGGGAGAAGATGATTCCGATTGCTAAAAATGATAGTGCTACTACAAATCTGGATAACCACCCCATTTTTGTTTGATTTTGGGTTGTTGAAATGGAGAGTTTGTAAAAGTAGATGAAATTGATCTTTGGAAATTGTTATTCTTTCCTTGACTTTTGAATCTTTGATATTGGTTGTTCTTAGAGGTGATTACCTGTGATTGACTAACCATTTTTGGCGCATTTATTTATCAACGTTGTTTGTGGTTCGGGGTGGCTTCTTCACCTCACCTAACCACCTAAATATGGCTGTGTATCGTGGCTCATGCCAAGCTCATGAATTACGGTTGGATATCCTTTTGTATCGTATAGTGTTTTTTTTAAAGGTAAACGTGTCCCAAACAAGAATCAAGATCTAACCACACTAAATAATGTGCACGCTCCTGTTTGTGATGGATTGTGAAATGAGTTCAATACTCTTCATTGAGGCGAATATGGATAACAAATCTTTTATGATGCACTTCATTGTAGTGAATATGGATAAAAAATCTTCTCAAACATCGATCTATGAGTGTGGAGTGCTTGCAAAAGTCATTGCAACGAGCTTGACAACTAGGATATAAATAAAATTGTCTTGGGAGCTAGTATGAATCAAAGATCACGATAAACTGATGGCACTTACGGATTGCTCTAAGAGAACAAGATTAACTTATACCGATGAGAAATGAATTTCCAGAATTTGGTATATTCATCTTATCTCATACTAAGGGTTGTATTGCATGAAAATCGAAAAGTTTAAACACAGCCCAATATACACATTCTATTAATTAATCAAACTATTTTATCTAAAAACCGTGAAGAGTTTAAACACAACCCAATAAAAACAACAATAAAGGAAAAAAGCAACTCCACGCGCGTTGACTGTCCTGGTCATTATAAAAGTCCTGGAAACACATCCTATTAATATCAAGTGAGGGGATTATAAAAAGGCTTGTAAAACTTATGGAGGCCCAAATTGGTAAACCCAAACATCAACCCAATAAAACAACACTAGAGTTCCAGAACAATCCACGTGTTAACCCCTTAAAATTTCCTTTTTTTTTTAATTCTCCCGCCACTAACCCAAAAATTTCAAAAAAAACAAAAAAAAAACCCAAAGCTTCTCCAACACTACAACTATTTTCTTCTTCTCTCCATTTTCTCTCTCCTCTTCTTCACTCTCTCTCCAAAATTCCGCCATTTTCAAACACTCAGAAAAACTCTGTAAAAATGATGTACGGTTCATCTATCTTCTTCGGAATCCGCTTCTTCCTTGCTGGATTCACTCCTCAACAAATCCTCGAGGTTCATCAATTTTCTCTTTCTTACTATTTCAATTTTGCTTTAATTTTGTGTTTTTTGGAGATTAATTTGATTTTTGTTTTTCTGGAAACAGTATAAATCCAGGATTTTGAGTGAAGGAGGAGTAATTTATGATGATTATAGTCCTGATTGTACTCACGTCGTCGTCCACAACCTCGCCTTTGTATACTCTCTCTCCTTGATTTTTAATTTCATTTTTTTGCATTTTTTATTTGTGTATGTTTGTAATTGAGCATGGAATTTAGATTAATTATGATAAAATTAAGGAGAAATGAAGATGAAGCAAAGTGTAAATTTGCTTGATTGAAAAACTCTATTTTGATATCTGAGCAATTCAATTAAAGTATTCTCTCCGTTTCTAAATGTTGTTTGTGCTTAAGACATTTTTGTGAGATAATTCGGTTTTTTAACGACTGATTTTTACAATTGGACATGTACCGGTGTTTATCACCACTGTCTAAGCTTAGACAAGTAATTTTGTTGGGTTTAGTGACTTGGAAGTGTATGGTATGAGCTTATTGTTGGTACTAGGTAAAATGTAACAATTTCAGCTCTTCTGCTAGATGATTTCAAGTTTGTAGGTGTTACTGCATTCATTTCTTTAAAATGGAAAGGTTAAACTAGCTTATTAGAGGACACTTGGAGTGGTTCCAATTTTGTTCGCATTTGTTGGTATTTTGCATGGTGATTGTTAATGTTACTTGTAATTGCTAATTGTGTGTGTGTGTGTGTGTGTGTGAACTGTGGACTGTAATTGTTTCACTTGCTCATTCTATGTAAGATGATCTGTGTGTGTGATGTGTAACTGTTTCCCTTGCCTATTTTATGTAGGATGATCCTATCTGTGTTACTGCTAGAAGGGACAAGAAGACGCTTGTAACAATTATATGGCTTAAGGATAGTTTACGATATGGAGAACCGATTGGCATTGGTAATGTAAGTTTATTGACTCTTTCATATTCGCTCTCTCTTTCTGCTCCAAGTGACCCATTAGTTGCTCTCTACAGTATGAACAGGTTTGGCTCAGTGCTGTGACCATGTGAATGACTACTTAGTACTTATCACTTAGCTTGCTATAATGCTATGGTTTGATTATCTCCCGTGTCTTAATGGTTTTCTTTGTTTTTTGCTCTAGTTTTATGCATTTGATCTGTCTTTGACCTAGCTCTAACTTGCTCTTTAATTTACTCAATGTGCCTTTTTTGTCTTTTAAAGCCTCATTAAGTCGGCTTCATGTTTACTCACAGATCATGTATAGGCCACTGAAGGATCTGAATGGAATTCCTGGTGCTAACAAGCTTATCATCTGTTTGACTGGATACCAAGGGATGGATAGGGAAGACATGAAGGTATTTGTACATATCATTATGTGTCCCTTGCTCCGTTGCTTGAGCTGTTCATTTTATGGTTACTTGTTTGTTTATGTCATGGATGATCATAGATAACGGGGTAATTCATCCATTGTGAGTTGTGACTGTGTGGCTGTATGTAATATATTTCTTTGAAATTCTTCTTAGATGATGGTGCAATTAATGGGAGCACAAATTTCTAAACCATTGGTGGTCAGCACAGTTACTCATCTTATATGCTACAAGTTTGAAGGTTCGTAATTGCATTTCAGTATCTTTTCCCTCCCTCTCGTGTTCTAGTCCATGGATCAATTCTAATTTATAAAGCTTGTACCTTCTATTATGCATGTTGTTATTTTGTAACTGAAGTTGTTTGCGTCATGATGCTGATTCCTTCTTTTGAATTTAACTAGCAAGATGCTTGTTCATCAAATGTGATCTTCTGCTAAATGTATTAGCAGAATAAATTCTTCTGAAGGAATATAGATCCCAATCATCCTAACTAGGAAATGTAAATACACCAAAAAGGAGAAGCAAACAATAGAATTAAAATGTATTCGTGTTCATCATTTCTTGTCTTTTTTATGAGCTACTTTATACTCTTGTGTGTAAAAACCTGTGCATCTTGAGAAGTTTTGTGTTCAATGCTTATGTGTGGAATGTACTTTTAGTTTGCAATCCTCCCTGATTCGACCTGATATGAAACTTGACCACAGAAACCTGAATTCAACTTGAACCAAAGCCAAACAACATGATGTATCATATATTGTACTAATATTATATTGCACTGTTTTTGATTTACTTAGCACAACCTAAATTGACTTGAAACCAAATCTTTGACCCAAATTGCCACTAGAATTTTGGTGTTCCCTTTAATTTTTTTAATATATTACGGAGTATTTTGCTGGTAGGATAGCACATAATGGTACTTCTGATTTTGAGGGTGCACCTCCATGATTGTTCAATTATGAGCATTTGACAACTGATATTGTTCCACATTCAAAAAGACATTACATTATTTCGCTATTATGTATAATTGTAAGCATCAGCTGCTTTGTTTCTGCTCATACCTGAATATAGAAGGGAGTCAGTGTACAGTTTGAAAATATCATCTTCTTTTCAGCTCTTGATTAGAAAGTTATTTTATCCTTTTGCTAATATACTCATTTCCGGAGTCTGCTTTGCTGAACAAGCTCAATATGACAATTATCTTCTCTCTTCACAGGGGAGAAGTATGAGCTGGCTAAGAAAATGAACGTTACAAAAGTTGTCAACCATCGGTGGTTGGTAGATTGGTATGTCTAATTCTTGTACTTCAGAGTTGGTTTAGAATTGTCCATAGATGCTGTACCTTAGTTTGCAAAATCATATTGTTGTGGTAATAATTGTCAAATCTGTCTTATTTTGTAATATTTTCTTTGCTATGCAGCCTGGAGGCTTGGAAAATTCTTCCAGAGGAGCCTTATAGCAGTAGAAGGTAATCTATGCCTCAATTTTTGCTAAATGATGGTTTATATTGGATAACTTTAAGCTTTGAAGTGATGGTATTTACCTGTATGTTTTAGAAGTCAGTGCTCTGTTCTTTTATAAACTTTAATTGATTTTATTTGCTTGTTCGTTTCTCCTTTGGTTGCTTGTCTTATCATCCTCTTTAAATCATTAGATTAGTAACATTAGTTATCTCTCTCCTGCAGTGGCTATGAATTAGACATGGAAGCTGAGGCTAAAGATTCTGAAGACGAGGTTGAAGATATATCTGGAAGAAACAATGATGGGATTACTATAATGCAAAATGAAATGGGGAAAGCTCATAGTCATTTCGTGCTTGCAAGGAATTTGCCAGATCCTTCTACACAACAAGGATTCTCTCATAACGATGGAAAATTGCTGCAATCTGATAACTCTGATTTTCTCAAGTCTGCAAGTGTTAATAAGTTGGGTAAGCAGCCTGTACTGGACCGTAGAGCTCAGTCTTTGATGGAAGCTAAAGTTGATAATGTTGATGAACCAAGAGCTGCGTTTCCTCTGTCTAATCAGACTGGAAATGGCCGTCCCTCTACTTCTGAAAATCCGAAGAATGCTGGTGATTTTGATGCTGAGAATTGTAATAGTCTAAAATACTCAAGGAAGACTCCACAGAAAACTGCTCTTCCGTCGCATGTTGAAGAGGGCTTGGGGAACACAATTGGATCATTAAAAGCTCCATTGAGCTCAAGAAAAACTCCAAGGTCTGGGGCTTCTTTGCAAACTGCAGGAAAGTCTGGCAAGTCGGGTGGGAGATCGAAAGATAAATCAACTAAAAAGATAATTGAAGACATGCCTACGTTTAATCTGGACATAGACAAGGCAGAAGATGCTTCAGGTTTCCTTGGTGAACCAAGTTCCAAAAGACATGATGAATCTGATGCTAGCAAGCTTAATTCTTTGAAATCAAGAAAATCACCAGCAAAGTCTAGTCTATCCTTGCAATCACCGGGAAAGTTGAGCAATCAAGATGGAAAATTGGAAATTCCTCTTGCTGAAAAGGTGATTGCTGATGTGTGCACCTTCAATATAGGGCCAGACCAAGGAAAAGCTACTTCTGAATGTAGAGCAACAAGTGCAGAGAAGGCTAATTTATTTGATGAGAACGGTCCGGGTGCTTTACTTCCACAAAAGAGGACTTCAGATGGTGCTTCTCACTCTACTCCCAAATCTCAGAAGTTAACATCTTCAGCCAGTAAACGAGTTGATGCATCAGAACCTCATGAGAAAAGGAGTAGTGGGGCCCTTAATTCTGGCTGCCAAATAGGAGATGAATTTGCCACACCATCTGTAGGTAGGTCATCCCCTAATGTTTCATCTTCCAAGCTCAAAGCAAAGACCGTTGCTTCCTCTAGATCTTTGGCTTTCGAGATGCTGCAAGGCGGTGAACCTATGAACACAGATTCTCCAACTACCCCTTTTACCAATAGTGTTTCTACTTCACCAGTTGTTGGTAACAACAATGGGCAACCCCAGACTCTGCAGAAAGTCACTGATACGTCTCTTGGCACCAATGACTTGGAGGCTGAGAAGTCTGGTAATCTTAAGCTGAACTCTACTGATCAAAATGATATTCCAAAACCATCAAAGAAGAAAATGGTGGCTAGGAAGACTTTGGGTTCCAAATCTAAAGTATGTAGAAGAAGTGCTGATGTTCAGAGAAGTTGTGCCAGCAAAGACTCTTTTCGAGACGATGCAGCCATACACTCAGCTGGTCAGGAAAATAAAGAGCCGCCTACAGCTTCACCTGCTGCTGATAAAGTTTTTGTGCCCCCTGCAGTAGAAGAGTCAAATGGTTTGGGTTCAAAGCCTCACCTGGGTACTGAAAGCAATAATTTTGCTACACTTTTAGATGATGAAACCGAAGCTCCACCAGAATTGAATGTGGATAATGAACCTTTGGCAGCTGAACAGTCGCTTTTAGTGAAATCAAAATCCGGAGAGGCATCTGGCATGCTGCTTCATCAAACAGATGGGCAGGGAATGCCTGTGGCTGAAACTGTTGATATGAAGAAAAACTTGATTTCGCAGAAGGGATTGGCCGTTAAAGCTAGGAAAAAGTCTCTGCTTGCTGCGAAGGAAGCTGCTAAAGATGCAGATGAGGCTGAAGCCGGAAAAGTGAAGGAACAAGTTGGTGGTGTTGCTGCAAAAAAAAGACGTGGTACTCTGTTGTTGAATAAGTCAAAGAGGCCTGTTGAAGCGGGGAAAGAAATTGAACCCATTTCTTATGATCGTGTTGAAGTAGGAAGAGAACATGAACTTGATTGTAATGATCAATATGAAAATAAGGGTGGTAAACAGTCAGGGAAGTTAGCTGTGAAGAGTAGGCGTGGAACTTTACTATCAAACAGGTCAAAGGGCCCTGTTGAAGTGAATAATGAAAATGACCTTGTTGATTGTTACGATGGTCAAAATGGCAGTAAAAATTGCCCTGCAGATCTGGCTGCTCCTTCCAACATGACACTGGACAATATGGAAATCAAAAGGAAAAATGACACTGGTGTTTTTACTGACCAAGGCACAAGAAAGGTTTCAAAGCGCTCTGGGAAGTTAAAAATGTCAAATGCCCCTGCCGAAGCAGAAATGGAAAATGAGCCGGTCCTTGATGGTGGACAATACTCTGGGAAGCAGGTTGGTGCACCTGGTATCTTAGATAGTTCTGTGGAGGTTGACAAAGAAAACGAACCTATCCTCGCTACTAATTTAGATACTAGTAAGGGTGTAAAACGTGCTGGTAAATTAGCAGGGAAGAAGAAGGGTGGTACTCTATTGTTAAACAAGTATGAGGGGCAAGTCAATGAGGAGAATAAGAATAAGCCAGATCTTGATGATGAAGAAGTTACAAATAAAGGTGGAATATTCACTGAAAAGCTGACCAGTAAGTCCAATTCTACAATCAATGAGAGTGATGCAGTTAAGGGTGGGAAACGTGCTGGTAAATTAGTTGGGAAAAAGAGGCGTGGCACCTTAGTTATAAACAAATCTGAGGTGCAAGTCAATGAGGGGAATGAAAATAAATTAGTTCTTGATGATGAAGTTGATACAAGTAATGGAACTGAGAAGCTCACCAGTAAGCCCAATTTGACAGTCAATGAGAGTGATGCAGCTAGCAAGGATGGAAAACGTGCTGGTAAATTACCTGGGAAAAAGAGGCGTGGCACACTAGTATTAAACAAATCACAGGTGCAAGCCAATGAGGAGAGCAGAAATAAGTCAGTTCTTGATGGTGATGAAGATGCAAGTAATGGAAAGGAGGAGCTGACCAGTAAGTCCAATATGCTAGTCAATGAGAGTGATACAGCTTTTTCAAATCCTTTGAACATTGAGTTGAAAAAGGTTCAAAAACAAGCAGCATGTTTCATACTTTGTGGACATAGACTACAGAGAAAAGAGTTCCAACAACTCATCAAGCGTCTCAGAGGAAAAGTATGCCGAGATTCTCATCAATGGTCATATCAGGCTTCACATTTTGTTGTTCCAGAACCAATCCGTAGAACAGAAAAGTTCTTTGCTGCTGCAGCATCTGGGAGGTGAATTTCAAATATTCTGTTTTTTCCCCTATTTTTTGTACTACGTAATTTATCTTCAAGATTGTTAATAGCTATAAGCCTTTTTTAGCTTGCTAATTTCTGTCGTGATTTGTCTCAAATACAGTTGGATTTTGAAGACTGATTACTTGATTGCGAGCAGTCAAGCCGGAAAGTTCTTGCCTGAGGAACCTTATGAGTGGCACAAGACTGCCCTCAGTGAAGATGGTGCTATTAGTTTCGAGGCTCCAAGAAAGTGGCGCCTTCTAAGGGAGAAGACAGGTCATGGTGCTTTTTATGGCATGCGAATTGTAATATACGGAGAATGCATTGCTCCACCTCTGGTATCTTTCTTCATCCTTTCTTCTTCATTGTCTTTCTAGAATTCTTGATATAGTTCTCCCCTTCTCCCAAAGCTAAGCTATACCATTTTGGCATGTCACACGTTCCTCTAAACTTTGGACCCACAGATAGTTGTACTCTTAGGCAATGTTAACTAAGTTACTATTTTGGGAGTTTGGGACAGTGAGGAGAATTACTAAAGACTTTTTGTTCAGTTTCTTGATATTGCATTCTCATTATGCTGTTAATGTATCAACAGGATACCTTAAAGCGAGTAATAAAGGCTGGAGATGGGACTATCCTTGCTACTTCTCCACCTTACACCCGTATTCTTGAATCAGGAGTGGATTTTGCCATTGTTAGTCCTGGGATGCCACGCGTTGATTTATGGGTACAAGAGTTTCTCAAACACCAAATTCCTTGTGTTTTGGCTGATTACTTGGTGGAGTATGTTTGCAAGCCTGGATACACTCTAGATAGGCATGTTCAATATAACACCCACGAGTGGGCTGCTAAGTCATTTTCAAAGCTCTTGAGCCTGTCAGAAGAGGTTGTAGCCGATAATATTACACCACCAGATGATCAGGTTAGTGATGACCTCGGATGTCAAGTTTGTGGCTCAACTGATAGAGGGGAAGTCATGTTAGTTTGTGGTGATGAGAGCGGTTCCACTGGCTGTGGAATCGGAACTCACATTGATTGTTGTGATCCTCCTCTCGAGAGTATCCCTGAAGAAGACTGGTTTTGTCCCAAATGTACTGAATAACTTCGTAAATGTTATTTGAAGCTGCCATACGCAAATTATTCTGCGTGTCACAGCTAAAATCTCGGCCATTTCACCTTCATGTACATCTCTTTAGTATTGTAAATTTTTGTAGGAAGATGTTGTAGGAACCAAGAGTCATGTAATCAATGGCTCAAAGCACAATCTAAGTTAAAAGTTATGTGTAGTACAAATGTACAATTATCATTGTGCTTTTGTATTTTATCTAGACTAAATTTTTCATAAGAAGCTTGTGTTAATAATTATGTTTTACTTTATATTTTTTGCATGATGAATCTTGAGATAAGAGAAAGCGTTATATTTTGGTGTATATGTTTTTTTGGCTGCTTTATTAAAGAGTTTGATGTATAAATAATTTTACTAAGTAAAAATCTCTGATTTATGTTTTTTTGATTCCTTGAATTATAAACAGTTAAATGGGCCCATCTTTTAGCATATTAAAAGGCTGTGCATTTTGGTTATGTCTGGGCCAATCATTTAGATTACAAGCTTTTTACAGATCTGGGTTGCCAACCCAATCACGGCCTTTTTATGCCTTCAAGGTCCAAAAGTAACTTCGGCTTTTACGATGTTTGTATAAAGTTGTATTGGTTTCATCTTAAGAAGATATTTCTTGGAAAATTTAATTTTTCTAACATAATTTTTTTTTGATAGCTTTTGTAACAACTATGTAAGTGTATCTATAATTGGAGCTTTAAATGTATTTTCTTTGATTAGATTTTAATTTTGTTGATTATTGCTGATTTGCTCTTTTGGATTTTGTTGATTATTGCTGATTTGCTCTTTTGGTAGAAATCTAACTACACAAAAAACGAGTGAGGTTGTAATGTCTTTATAGAGCAAGCATTTGAAATATGTATGGTTTCAAATAGGTATCACATTTTGGTGTTTGAAGTAATCGAACTTAAATTACTCCGTAGTATATAGCAGAGTTATTATTTTCCATTAGTTAAAGTCTTAAAGATGAAGATTCTTTAGCATTGTTTAGTGTTTACTTACTTTCCTTTGTCCCAACTTCTCTTCATCAAATACATCGATCTTACTAGAATTTGAACTTGAAACTAGGAAATTTATTAAACTTACTTAATGGCTTATCGTTACACTTGAACTTCATGTCAATCTTCTCATGTCAAGACACATACTCAATCAATCAACTTCTATAAAATTCGACTTTCATATATAATACCTTGTATTTGAAACTAGAGTCAAGTGAAGTTCGTTCTATTGATTTTGAAATTTGGACTAGGAAAGAATGGACCTAAGGTCCCAAAACATAAACACCCATACTTTCACTATCTCATAAACCACTCCAAATAATATAAGAATCTAAGCACCTCAAATCAACAAAACAAAACAAAAGAGTAAGAATCATAAATCATAAAAAAAACAAGCCAACCCAAACTAAACCATAAAACGTCAAGAAAATGAATGTCAGTAAGTCTGAAAACTCCAACCTTTTTTCAACCAATCATACTTCTCATTAACCATCCCTATGTCCAGATTTTAGTTTTTCTGACTTTGAAAATGGGTGAAGAAAATTTCCAAAATTAATAAATTTCTTTTACAAAAATATATATATATTTTTTATAAATTTATTTTAATTAAAAAAAATAAAAAATGAAGAAGAGCACATGAATGATTCCATCACATGGTATTGACTGACATCATCATATTTCATATCTGGCCACCATCTTTCCTCTTTCCGATGTTCCCAACATTCAAACATCACGTGCTTACCGCCCTCCTCCCATTCTTTTTTCTTTTTCTTTTTTTTTTCACCATTTTTTTTTTTCTTCTGATATTTTTTTTTTCAGAAGTATAGTAGTACTACTACTTAGAGACAAAAATTCAGTTTCCAATTTTATCTTTATAATTCATACTACTATATATATCCAATAATATAAATGTAGTGATGTAGTAGCTTACAAAATCTTGATGTGTGTGACATAGGTTAGTGCAAAGAATCTATGATGATATTGTATTTTCACCCCTTCATCAATGAAATGAGGTACACAAATTGTACCTCTTGTTATGAAATTTAATATAAATGGTGATGATGATCTTGAAATGAGTTTGAGTTTAAATGATTAATTTAACAATGCTTTGTTAATGTAGCTAGCTAGTATACCAGTGTTATTGTATGATCATACGTGGATTATTATGATGCAACTAAATTTGAAGTTTGTCTAATTTTATTATATAGTGATTAAATTCTTTGATATCGCACATACAATAAGTTATATATATGGCATTATGGTGAGAACGTTATGTACAAGTACATGATTTTCTTGTTCCTTATTAACTCCTAGGATAGCTATACAACGTATATACTTGTTGTTGTTGTCTTATATCAACCCTTAGAGTAACTTTAAAAGGCCCGTCTTATTGTCTATTGGTATTATAATCTGTCATGCACTAGAATTATTTTTCCAAAGTAAGAGAATAAAACCCTACGTAGTTAAAATTTCGCATAGGTATCATCTGTCGTGAATTAGTAAGCAAGACCCTTAAAAGTAGAAAAATGTATTGGATAAGGGAATCCCTATCTCCTAAAGAGCTACCTTGTGGAATTGAAATACTTTATTATGTCGAACTTTTATTTGTCTTATAATAATGGAGACTTTGTATTTCATTTATACTACGTGTGCCAACTAACAGGTTACAAAAATTACAAGACAATGAGCAACGAATGTTGTTGATTGCTATCAAAACTTGGTAGTTTGGGATACAATGACTTCGAAAATCAATGATTTAATTAATGAAATACAATGCAAATTGGTACAATATAACCATGCAAATTGACATAAACAAAGAAATTAATATATTTTTCTTATAATAGTAGCTCTTAATTGTTGTCCACTAATTGTTCTTGCTTATCTTAAGGAATATTGAAGAATAATTAGACCGTTTATACTAGTTGAAGTAATCAAATATCTCATTGATAAAACCATAAAGATCATCTCATATCATTTTTTAAGATAAAATATTACTTTGAGTTTATTAAAATAAGTTAGACTAATTATATTCTTGAAATATTCCAACTTCCAACTCAATATACTGTACCATATCCTCATATTTAACTCCCTATTTGACTATTAATATTTATAAAATATTAGGGCATTACATTTATTCTCATTGCAAAGTTGAAACTCTAAACTTGACTATAAGTGTACATTTTATTTATTTTGTGTGGCTTAAAGTTTGAGAGAATGCTACAAAGCCCTCTGACTAATAATTTTTTAATATTATATATGTAAATAAAAATATTTTAGATGAGATTTAATGTATAAAATAATTATTTTAAAAATAATTACTTTTCTTGTTAAACCTCTGCAAGGGGCAAACCTTCCTTTACTTTCACCACAAGATAAAACAAGGAAATAATGACTTTAAAAACAAATTTAAATACTAGGGGGGGGGGGAATTCCTTTTTTTTTTCTTTTTTCTTTTTTATGATATGTGACAAAATATTGTTCAATGACCTATGAGAACACAATACTAGAAGACAGAGTATGGTCAGAACAACAATTGGGGATTTCTAAAAGATATATAACTTGCTATGGTTCATACTTTAATGCACTTCAAATACTTGTACAAGCTAGTATATTTTTTTTATCATACATTATAACATAGGTCCAAAAATAAAATAATACACCTACTATTAGCTATTGGAGAGACTATGTAAGATGAGAAACCTAAAGTATTATTTTTTTGTGAAGATTTTCCACTTTTTCTCCACCATTAGCCTTGAATTCCTAGCTAAACCATTTGCTAATTCAACAACATTCATGACCCATGTGGAGCCAATTTAAAAGGTAGATCTAGCCTCAACCTTGGGAACAATATATCCTTAATTAATTTAATTAGTGCATGAGATATGATATGATGTCACAATTTTACTAATTTTAACCATGTTTGAGCTCTTAAATGATCGTTATGGAGGGATGCTCCGCATTACAAGATCTACTCGACGATCGTAGTTTTTATGAAGGAAAATTCTATTTGATTCAATATCTTATATATTTGTTAACGTCGAATCTCTATTGTAGATGTCGTATGACTTTTAATTAATGAAATATTTTTGCTATTAAAAAAAAAAATGCTCGTTATGGGTGAATCTTAGATAACTAGATAAGGTTGATATCAATCTTAAAGTTATACTTGTATCTAATACTAGAAGAATTAGGACATATATATATATATATATATATATATATATATATATATATATATATATATATATATATATAACAAAATTATTCAAAATTTTGCATATACTATATAATTAACAATGTATAATTGAGATTTTTTTTTTCCTCTACCTTTTTTCTTTTATCTTTATTTTGTCAAATGCGGATTAAATCTCTAAAGAAAACATTTATTGCAAAACCAACACATGGTTCATATACTTTGAGAAAGAAAGAAAATAAAAGGAATATCTTGACTTGTGATGAGGGTTACCTTAGTTGTAAAAAGAGCAAGTGCAAATTAAAGTTTAAATCACTTGTAAGGAAAGAAAACTTCCTAAACTTGAGGGAAAAAAAGAGTAATCAAACTTTAATTAATATGGAAGTGAAACAATGGTTTTGTTTTTTTAAAAAATTGTTATTATATGTTGATACATTGGATTTGGGGTGTGTCGAAGGATGTGCATATCATTAAAATGTTGCCTTTAATATCTTCAAGTTAATCGGACCATTTTTTTTTATTTTTTTTGGAGGGTATCTAAAGTTTTATTTATTTGTTTGTTTGTTTATTTATATTTTCAGGAGGTCTAAAAAGATTGGCAGCCTTTCCTTTCAAGCACCCTTTTGCTAGCTAGCTAGTTTTCCTTCAATTAAAAGTAGACTGTTCATGCTCAACTAAACATACCTATGAATTGAAATGCTCCTATTTAGATAAAAATGGTATATGATTTCATTTTAGATTATCTAATTTCATTTTCATGTAGCTATTTCTACTTTTAACATATGTATATGAATTTAGGGATTTCTTTTACATTCATATATTGCACCGTACACACATTAAAATGAATCGAACTTATCATAATCAATGCAGATTATTTTTAGACACTATAAATTAGTGCTCGTATACAAACCATTTTTTGTAATATCACTGGTTTTCAGTTTGTTTATGATTTTGAGATTTGAAAATAATATTAATTATCAAGAATAATTCCTTAGTTGTTTAAGCATATATGTATACAACTTGATTGTAAATTTATATAGTTGAAAATTTAAATATAGTTGAAAATTTGTAAGCCTCATTAATAAAATCTAAAAAGTACATAATATACTCTAGATTTTGGATATTTTTCATGAGATGGGGCATTATTTATCAAGTCACTCAAAACTTGTGAGAATCTAGCTTGGACCACCCACAAAAACCATAATGATCAAAAACTACTAACTCCCCATCTCGATCATACTCATACTCTCTTGAATTTTGCAAAATAATATTACTAGCACTTACTATCTCCAGCTACTTCATGCATTGAGTTTCACTATAAATTCATAAAATTTAAAATCAAAATAAGTTAATACTTTGAATAAAATTTAAATTAAAAAAAAAAAAAAAAGGAATCCAATGAAAGGGTGAATAATAAGAGCAAAATGGTCCAAATGAGGTTGCACAGTTAACAAAGTGCACACTCAATATGATTACTACAACCTTAGCCTTATTGGGTTCCCATATTATCCTGTACATACAGCACCTGTGACTTCTATCCATTGCACATTATTTTGGATCATCTTTTTTTTCAATATCAATCTTCCAATCCTCTAAGAGTAATTTACGATTATGATGCATCTATATTCTTATTAAAAAAATAAAAAAAATTGGTGAAGAGTAGGATTATTTCATATACAAGTATCTTAATGATTGTTTTACGCTAATTTTTTATAAATTTGCTAATCTGTTATAGTATTTCGTATTTTTTAACGATGTGTGACATATATTCCCATTCACATAAAAAGTGATGAATTCCTTTTGATTTACAAGCTTATAGCTTAAAGTACTTATGTTGGAGTATTATACCAAGTAACTTACAATTGGACATTTTGCTCATAACTCTTTATATTTTTGTTTAATATACAGAGTACGTATGTTTTAATACACTATCTTGAATATTGAAATACTTCGTATTATAGTTTATGTACAATATTGCTCGAGGCTTGCTGTACATACTACATAGCAATAGTCTATACATGTAAGTCATCGCCTTGTTGGAAGATTATCATGCATGTTAGTCTCATCGGGTTGTCAAATTACCTATATATACATACATTATGACATAATCCATACGGAGTATCAGTTACTCCGTATAAAATTGTATTTATAAGTAATTTGGGATCAGAAATCGGAATATATATAATCAAATTAAATAAAAAGAAAAAGGAAGCAAATAATTAAATTAAAAGAAAGTATCACACTCAAGAATTGAGGGTGTGCAAATCCCACAGCTCAAATGAGCTGCAATTATAAAGTGATTAGACCCATCCTTTGTTGCTATCAGGCCAGCCAAACCTACTTCAATTCCACCACCTTTCTTTTTCAGGAAAGGTATCAAATATAGTGACCTTCTCTACCATTTTACCAATTATTTTACACAACTATACTATAAATATATATATTAAGCTCCTAAACCAAAAAAATTCAGAATATTAATTATTTATCAAAAATATTTCCAACCTTAGTTAACCGCCAATTTTCAAATTCTTACAAAAAATCTAGTAGCAATAAAAGTTCTTAGAAGAAGAATCCAAAGCTGCCCTATTACTATTAGTTTCCACCCAAAAATTAAAAATAAATAAATAAATAAATGGCTGAATTAAATGAAATCTAGTGGATTGACAGGACTTTTGGTCAGAAATTCATGAGCAAAGTTTTGGTAATTTTTTTGTTTATTTTTTTGGGTGTAGGTAAAATTGAGAACATTAATTAATAAAAATAGGTACAACAAGAAGAAATGTCATGAATGACAAAAAAAAAAGGGGGGGGGGGTTCATAAATCATGTCATCTTCTTTTCCCAACTAAAATCACCGTACCAAACCCCCTTTTTACCAAATTTCATTAAATTTCCCCATGTTTTTTGGGCACATGAATTGTTTTTATTATATGGTCAATGAAAACCGATTTTAGCACAATTCAGTTGCGCATTAATTGTGTCTTAAGTGTATGTAATTAAACCCATTAACTAATTCCACCTCATTTTGAATGTCACCCGTTGTAATTCAAAATAAATCAAATACGCGTACAAAAAAAAAAAAAAAGTTCATCAATTTCGTACTCGTAGTTGATAATGTAAAATAAAATTATAACCCTACACGAGTCAATGGCGAAAATGAGGCATAAATGTAAAATTGAAGTAAAAAATATTGAAAGCTCGAAATTATGAAATGTACTAGTAATATAGTTTGATTAATTGATAATAGTACTACTAAATTGCACATAAATTGAATTTTAAGCATAAAAAGTCTGTACATCTAAAAGATTCAAGTAGCAAAATTTTCTGGCACCCCATTTAATCCTTCTTTTTTCTTCATGTTTTTTTTTCACCTTCACATTCCCTTTTTTTTTTTTCCTCTGTACATGGAATTTTAACCCCAAAATTAATCACATTCCCCCTGCCATTATCTTAATTTAACAAGTACCCCCAAAATTTATTTTCCTTTCTTCCAATTTCACCCCCCTCGATTTCGAAAACTCGAAAATTACCCCCCAACAATATCAATTTTTTTCACCCTCTAAACTTTGGTAATTACACTAGCAAGTAGTAAACCTTCCTTAGCAACTCAATGCCTCATACTTGAGTGTAATAGGGCGGTTGAAACCAACTTGAGAGAGCAAACTCCCAACAGTTGCTAAGTCCCTACAAAACACTCCTTGGTAAGCAAATGACCCTACTTTGCCACCACAACTCGGGTCGTGCCTGTCATCGGGTTGATCCACATCAACCTCTGGCTCGTACTCGTACCCGGCCCCAAGGCCAATCTCAGGCCCATCATCTACCGGCATTTGTTTCCGTGCCTCGATAGCTTGCTGGGCCTGAGCTTGAGCTTGGGCTTGAGCCTGTTGTAGGGCCAATGCTGTTTTCTTCCTTTCGGCCTCCGTTGCCTCCTCCTCGACAATTGTAGACAGCACATTCGAGTACGCCTTTTGGACAAGTCGGAAAAGCAACACCGCGGACATCCTTGCCCGATCCTTGACCGAGTCGAAATCCCTTTCATCCGCTAGCTCGCACCGGTCTAAAAAACTCATCGATTTCTCCGGTTTATGCCTTAAAACCAAAAGTAAATGAGCCCGGTCCAATTCCGACCTCGAACAACCTCTCCTTAACCCAATTAACTTAAAATAGTCCACATTACCAGTCTCCCCCATTGCAATTCTTTGCTTTAATTGCTGAATTTTTGAGCCCAAAGCACAAAGCCGGCCCGGAATCTCTCTATATGGAACCGCCCTCGGCTTCCAAACCGGACCGGGTGGTTTACGGTCCCTTAAAATAGAATTATAGATCAATTTCACATGCTCAAGATCATGAACTGAGTCTGTAATACACCCAATGAACTCAAACAAACCCGCTCGAGCGTGAAGTGCCACGGTCGAGGTTGGGTCCAATGCAAGGGTACGATTCAGGTCAGCTATACTCTCAGCTGTCCGACCGGCAGCCTTATAGGCAGACGACCGGTGAAGGTAACATTCCGCAAGAAACGCTTGAGGGGCCGGGCGACGGCCCTCTAGAATCTTCGAGAAGTGTCTGATGGACTCGGTAAAGAGACCGGCGTCTAAAGCCGCAAGCGCGGCTGCACGACGCCGTAGGAGAAGCTTAATGTGGGCAATGAGGTGGGATATTGACTCAGTCTCTGTAAGAGGCTGATGTTGAGTTGAAGAGACTGAAATTGAGTCAGAGGTGGTGGAAATGGTGAATGCAAAGCTGTCATCGGACCAGCAAATGCTCTCGCGTCGGAACGCAGCCGAGGCGAGGCGCTTGCCGTGTTGGAGGAGGACTAAGGCGTCCTCCATTAGCCCAAGGTGGCAACATGCTTGACCAAGAACTGAGTACCTGAAAAATGATCACCAACAGAACAAAATTAAGTCAAATTGTTCCAACTTAGAATAAATTGACCAAAATTACACAAGAAAATCAATAAAAATTGACAAAAATTACATTGAAGAGTCAAAATTAACAAGACCAATTTGTATTGTTTTGACTTGCAATAAATTTTTTTGTCTTGAATTTACTTTTACTCATTATAAATTTTAATTGTTTGACTAAAATTCCAAAATAAATTTAACCCCAACAATTATTAGTACCGGTTTGACATAAAACAAACTTCTATTACCAATTTATTAGTGATAATAATTAATACCAATACAACTGTCCTAAGGTAGGAAACACATTCAATGAATAAGGGATCATAAGCAATAGTGAGTCAACTCGGACCAACTCGACAAATTTACCAAAATACCCCTGCTTATCAAAATCACTCTAAAAAAAGGAATAATCTTTCTTTTCATTTAGTGCCTCAAATTGCCCATTTCATTACATTTTAGGAAAATGAGTAAAATTTGCCCAATAATCAAGAAAACTGAGTCAACTCGGACTAACTCCATTAAACTCCAAACTAACCCATGTGAAAGAAAGAAAAAAGTGGGTTTGTTGGTTTAGGGGATCGAAGAGCATGAAAAACAGAGTGGCGGTGGAGGGCATAATGCTACTAATCCTAGCGTAATGCACAAGATCATGTTTCCTTTCGATTTATGAGAAAAATTAATTATTATTTTAACCCAAATTAACCAAAGTTTTGAACTTTGAACTAATTAATTAATGGGTTTTATTGCTTAAAACCCAAAATAATGAATTAAAGTTATGAACTTTGACTTAATTAGACGATTATAATGAACATTAGTAATAATTAATTAATGGGTTTATGAAAAAATTACCTCCATTGCCCTTCTGTATCACAGTTCTTGTAAAAACCAGAGAGAACCTTCTTCTTAAGATCAGAAACAGAGAAACATTTGAATGAAGTTGGGTAATCACAACCTGAAGATGATAAATTAGACTCTGACTTAGAGGATCCCAACAATTTGACTCGTTCTCTCGACAAAGTCTGAGAAGACGAGTTCGAGTTATCCGAGGATGAACCGGAAGAATCATCGGAGTAAACACTGATTTTGTAACTTGGAATGTAGTCTTGTAACATGTCTGCTACTTCCTTGTTTCGTCTTAGGTAAAGAAGACATCGGGCTTTAAGTTCGAGTGCTTGTTCAAATTTTGGAGATAGAGAAAGGGCTGATTCTAGTAGACTCAAAGCTGAGTTTATCTCGTTTTGATCCCGAGTTGAGATCATTGTTCGAGCTTCTCGTACATATTTGTCTACAACCTGAAATAATGTGAATCAATTAAATGTTAAAACCCCATTTAATTTTGACATAAAAGTTTTGATTTTTATTGACTAAAACAGATTGAAATCAAGGTGATTGGAGATCAAATGTGTGTGAATGCATTAAAAAAATTAAAAAGTTTCAATATTTTAGTAATACCCATTTGAATTAAAAGAAATTTAGAGTCACCCATTTGATTGAAATGAGTTTCAAGATAAATTAGAGATCAAATTAAAGATAAAGTTCTAATCTTTGACTTATTGATATGGGAAATTTTGGATTTTGATTTATATCCATTATGATTTAGGCAAAATTAGCATTACCCAAGAAGAAAAAAATGAAATGAAATTAAAGATTGAAGGAAAAAAAAAAATACCTTTTTGGTGCTAAGCCACCAATGCTTCTTTTCTGTAGAAGGAAGATGAGAAGGAGAAGATGAAGAAGTAGAAGACATGGTTGTAAATGGTTGATCCACCATTTTAATTTTTTTTTTTTAATTTTTTTTTTTCTAAAAAAATAAATAAAACTTTTTACTTTCTCTCTCTAACTCTGTGAATTGTTCTCACTCTGTTTCTCTCTCTAAAAAGAGCTCATTTCCCTCAAGGAGGAGAATGGGAGAAGAGGGGAGAGGGATTATATATGAGAGAGAAAAGATATGAGGGTGGGATTTGAAATGGATTAGATTTTCATTATAAAAAAAAAGTAAATTAAAAATTAAATGAAAAATGAAAATAATTTTCTCTCTCTAGAAAAAAACACACACTCCCTTAATAATTAGACATAAAAACTTGCCAGCTTTGACTCTCAGAAGAGAAAGCTTTGATCCTTCAATTTCATCGCTGGCACCCTCAGATTTTCTCTCTACTTTCTCTCACTAGACTTTCTGCTTTCTCTCTCTAGGCTAAGCTAAGTCATTTTTTATTTAATTTTGATTAATTTTAATGAAATTAAATAAATTAAAAAAGATGGTGATGGCTTATGTGTGGTGTAATTGTAAGCAAGCAGGAGTCTGACAGTTTGAAGTCATTTTTACTACCTTTATTTAAAAAAAATTAATAGTTCTACGTACTACTTTTATTTTGCCCATTTAATTACTTGTACTCGTATTATTCAATTTTTTTGATGCCATATTAGTTTGATTTGAATCTTTAATTTAAGATATATAGTAAATCAATTTTAGCTTTAGTTCTTGTTTAGTCGGAAAATATTTCCCTTGTAAATAGAAAGTCCTTGGCAATATCTAAAATATGTTGTGTTTTGTTAGAAATTTTGTAGGAAATGAATTTTTAAGGGAAATGTAAATTCCCACGTAATATTAAAAAAAAAAACTCACCAAAGGCTTGTTCTGATTTACTAAACTAAGTTGAATTGAAATGAATTGTTTACGAGATAAATAAATTAGAAATTTAACTAAATTGATTAGAGATGAAGTAAACTAAAATGAATTAAGCTGAAATTAAGCTAAAAAGAACAGGCCCCAAGTCCCCCCTAAGTGAGTTAATTCCTACAATGTCTTAAGAAGTTATTTTGTAGGAAAGGAAATACTAATTCTCATAATGTCAACCAAACACTTTTGCAAAATTTGTAAGCAATTAGCAAGGGAAATAACTTCCCATGGTATATGATTTCATGTGGGAATTTATTTCCCAAGTTAAATCAAACAAACACTTTTTTTTTTTTTAGAAAATCAAACAAGCACTAAATGTATACTGTACTCAACATTTTAAGTGAAATTTTATTAAATTCTTCCAATTAATATTCATATGCATATATATTTTTTTTTTTTTTTTATAGTTTTTCATAATCTCTTTTGCTCATCTTTGACAATCTAGCAAAAAATAAGGTCAAATTTTTATAATATACGCAAATGAGTAGAATTAGAGAAAAGTACAACAATACAATACTTCTTACTCCGTATTAATTGTTATAATATACGCAACATTAAAGATACTCGTATAATATTAAATGAGTATTTCGTATATCTCTTAAAATGGTACTGTCATTAATTTAAAATTTATATCAATATGACATGTCAAATTGTCAATGAATCTTACTTATTAATGTTTAGTCAATACTCAATAATTTTATTTATTTTAGTTAGGCGATTCTGCCTATCATTCTCCAATAATTAATTAAATAATGTTAATGTTAATGTTAATGGTAATGAATTATTTTTGTTGCTTAATATCTTACCGGGTATAGCCGGTCAACCAGTCACGGGTTTTTAGAAGAGAGGGAAGAAGAACTTCTATGAACAAAGCATTTAATTTCAATTTTTAAATATTTTTTTTATAATTATTTATCCTCTATTACATGCAATTTGCACATTAATTACTTACTCTTATCCACTGAATTCGAAGATTTTCTTGTGCTTAATTGGCTCGTTGCGTGATTGGTTGGTTTAATTATTAAACATTTTTGTAAATGCAATTAGTTGCCTTTTTTCCGGGGTAGAATCCGATTACTTACCATATAAGCCATATTTTCTTTAATTGGTGTATTGATTTTAGCTCGACAATAATAAGTGAAGAGCCAAGTAAAAGTTTTAAAAAGTTAAAGTTGAAAAAGTAGGTACTCAAGTTAATGGATTTTGATAAATATAGTTAGTTCTTACCTTTGGGGATAGGACAAACAATATTATTTCCGTCTTTATTTATTTGTGTTGCGTATGATTTTATATAAGTGAAAAAACGGAAATAATAAAAATACTTGTAAATCCTATCTCAATGGAGGAAAAAAAAAACAAAAAAAAAGTAGATGAAAAAAATATTTCTGTCAAGAAAAAAAATAATTTAATTGTTTTGAGTTATTACTCTCTAAAAAAAAATAAAGATAGGCTGTATTAATATTTTGCGTATCAATATTAATTTTGATAGTATATTTGATGTTTGTTTTCACTTGCACGCATTGTGTGCATTTTACTTTTATATGGAGTATCATTTAAGATTAAATATTAATATTCAATAGATCATCAGATTATGATAAATAATGTGATTTGGTCTTGATCATCACTTAAAAGCTTTTATTAAAACAAGTGTTGTTTGTTTTATTTTTGTTGTTTATATGTATAATTTAAAGATTAATTTATAACCCATATAATACATTCAACATAAAAAATTGTCAAAACTTTTGATGAATCAACCAACTATATTATTCATGACTATATTTGCTTCCTTTTTTTTCAATTGGGGAAGATCAATTGGCAATTATTATCATTACAACATAGATGCATAATATCTATTCTCCTTAGTGAATGTCTTTAAAAATGAAATGTACATTTTTAATTTTTACAATATTTCTATCTTAACTTTAATTTGATTATATATATTTCAATACTAACACTAGTATATAAAACACAATGTATGTAATTATTGTACTTGTATAAAATATTGTTTAGACTACTTCGAATGTATATTATGGAATTTAGTTTTTTTTTAATTAATTAATAGACAATTAATTTATAATACAAGTATTAAAAATCAAAGGTTTGTGTCACATGCTTATTATAGTACTACATACACTATGTATGTAACAACAATATTGAAAATCATACCATGCAGTCATGCACGACCAGATATGAAACTGTTAGAGACTTTTGTGTACCAGTCTTTCTCCCCAAAAGTCAATATAAAACCAAACTTCATAAACAGCCATTTTATTCGTGTAGTATTCAAGAAGTTTTCTTTTTTCTTTTTTTTAAAAAATAAAAATAAAAAAATAAAATCCTGTAATCGTAACGTGTCCTTTCCCCAATTACAAATTGTTTCTTTAGTTATTTTAGCAAACAATAGCTATATATATCATATATGTAGCATCTCTATTGCTTCTTCCATAGTTTAATTTGATTTTGATAGCTATATATGTGCTCTTTACACTTTGCACTGACCCATACAAGCTAAGGGTCTTTTCCACTATTATATTATATTGAAAGTTAAGCATTATTCTCTAGGTTATGTAACTAACTTTATATAAGTACAATTTAATAATGAGTAATAATATAGTCAAAAAACACATATCCCGCGAAAATGGAAGTCGGAGTTGAATACCAAACTATTATTTGAAAACAAATATATGTATAGTTATTGGATTAAAACTCTGAACATCTACCAAGAACATCAAACTATACAATTTGAAAAACAAACTTCAGATCATGCAACATACTTCAATTCATGTACATCATTAATTTTCACGTAAAACTCATAGCAATAAGAAGATTACTAGAAACAAACTCACAATTCGACTACACTTTATTTTCTATTCCTAGTAACTCTATAATAAATACTTCATGTTGTATATAAAGATGATAGACTTACTAACGTCTAATTCATTAAACACGTAATAACATATGAATAATACAAATTTGAAAATGTGATACTTCGGAGTAGTAAGTTGAAAGGAATAAGAAATGCCAAATCTCTTAAACCACAAGAATCTTGCAATGCAAATTTCTTTATTTTCCTTTTGGTAAGATAGCTAGCTTATAAGATGAGGATGAGATTGCTTTAGCTTTTTACAAATTGAGTTATTTTTCCCCACCCACAACACTATTCACAATCACAATTGATTAATATTGAATGCACATGAAATATGGATAGATACTATAGATTGCCAGATTGGTTAGCCTTAAAGTCTTTCTTTAACTTCCTTTTCATATTCCCTACCAATCACCTTTCACCACGTGTGCCCTCCTTTGATTATGTTAAATTACATATATACCCTTCATTGTTTAGGCATACATTTTTACAAGACTTGGGACTTGAAATTGGGGTACACTGCCAATTGGCATGATAGCTTTGATTTCATCTTTTGACACGTGGCATTACACTACTTGGGTCCCACTTTTGTAGGACTATGATCTTTATTTTTTTGCCTAAGGTCCAAGTCACACTATATTTGCTCCTAGTGAAGCTAACAAGAGAGACAAATGATAGTATGTCATTGTATCATAGCTTTACTTTGTTAAGGACATTTTCGTCCTCTTCTTCTTTGTTTCTTTATTTATTTCAGTGATACGATCTTACGAATGCCAGCTATATTTTCAGGGTGATATCTTGTATGAGTACTTCCCATTTTATGAACTATTTGTACGAACTATTTTAAATTCAGTTGCGGATTTTGGATAAAAAATTTGAAGGTAAAATGCTTAATCATCGATCATCTTAACTTATTATTCAAGTAAAAAACATTAGAAAAGATAATACGTAATTATCAAGTATGGAGTATTAATTTCTTAATTAGTGGGTTAATATATACGTTCAACATATACATATAAAATATGAATAGATTGAGAGGTTTAATTTAATTTTTTTTTTTATTATTTTTTTTATATCACAATAATTTTTATGTTAGATGAAAAATTGTGGACTTTGTGGTTATCAAACACAATACGTTTATCTAATTTTTTTTAAGGCACATTTATCTATTGCTTTTGAAAGCAATTGTTTTGTATTTTTGTTTATTTTAAAAAAAAAGTTTTCAAAGATTTTTTGTCAAATTTGTCTACAATTGTATTGGTTCATTTAGAATCTTGATAAAGTCAAATTCTTTACTAATATTATTGGACACAAACTATTGTAAACTTTACCTCGAGTTCTTTACTAATATTGTTGGACACAAACTATTGCAAATCAGTTATATCTTTATTTCAAAATAAATAAATGCATACGTGATTTGACAAGTTCTATTTAACAATCATAGTGTATATATGGCCCTGATATAAAATTTATGCAACGATGTAATAGGCCTATTTATACCTACAAGTTGCAAATATGCAATCGAGGACATGGTCTAACATAAATAATTTGCTTGTTTATAAATGGTATTTGATTAACATATTTTCATAAGCAAATAAATTGTCAAGGCAAGTTAATAGAGGATAAGCAAT